GGCTCCTTGAATGATGAAAGCGAAAAAATGGTTTTGCATACGAGATTCATATCAACATGCAATCACCCCGATCACGCGCAGGGATTAGGCCGAGTGCCATCGAAAGCGCACAGATCCCGGCTCGGCAGCCTCATTAATGGGCGTAAACGTCGAGATCGTCGTAGTGAACCGGACCAGTTGGTAGAGAGTAGCAGCCGCTGAGTGCTTTACAGGCAACGGTTTTTGTGTCATCGCTGCGAACGATCGCAGCAGCGATTTTCCGTCAACTGCGATCGCATCTTTCGTGCTCGTCTTGGCGCCAACTCGGCTGCTGCTGCAGATCGTCTTCAACAGCAGAAATCGTCTGATTTGCATTCCTCGGCTGATTACTGTATGACCTCAGCTGAACTGATCAGCTGAACTTGTCTGAGCCTCGACAAAATCGCGCCCCATGGCGACTTGGAGACGCCTCGAGCGCCTCAACACCCAAGGAGAGCAGTCTGTGATTCCATGCCGAAAATCCGTCAAATTTCGTTACTTTGATTTTGAAGAAGCGAAAGAAGTCACCGCTGCAAACGAAAAGGGAGAAAGGACTAGCTTACCCTGCGAAACTTCTCCACTTCCGTCTGGCTTTTGGGGTAACTTGGCAGAGGTTCCGTCACAACGTGGTAGTGTCAAAGATCTGCCGATTATTCCGAAACCTCAACGACCTCGTATGGGAACCACCGACTATAAACGCCGTAATTCAGCTAGTGTTTTTACAAGGAATAGCTTCAGAAGTGGAAAGGTAATATAGCAATATGATACTGTCTATAGAAATATGTTTCAGCGAGACAGAGTTTCGTGTGTAAGTTGAGAGAAATAATTTTTGTGAATGAATATATAAGAGTTTTTTTCATTTCTATTCATTCAAAGATTCCTTACGAGAGTCACAAAAGTTTTTATTCATTCCTTCAATTGAACTTTTGCAAAAAAAAACGAACTATTGACTATTGTCGAGTCGTTTGTGACTTGATATGCGTATTGCACACCATGCGCCCTACTTGACGACATGTAAGATTAGATCCTGCTTATTTCCGATATTTTCTCCTTGCTTCCATGTCTGTTTTGATTTGACTGGGTATGCGTAAGTTACTAATGCAGATTTGTATAATTAACTGCGCTAGGAAAGATTTTCTGGGCAGTTATCAGTAAGGGTGTCGTCATCTGCCGCGCATAGTGTGCAAACTCACTTCTTGAATCACAAATGATTCGAGAATATCATTTTTTCACTGTTTTTCATTTGAATTCCTTCATAAAGTAGAACATAGAAAATTTCACACAACATGCTTTTTCAATCTCCTTTGATTCCTTCCGAAAAAATAAAGAAAAGAAGAGGCAATTGCTAGCAGTATCTATCTCGTAATAAGAAATTTACATGACGCGATGTTTTGTACTGCAAGAATGTCATCTTCAGAGTGCTTCTTTTCTATTTTTTCTAAATGTTTTCCCCCAACATTTTCAATGGACTTGAAACCAGCATGCCATCATTACCAGCTCATTGTTTTTCCGTCCTCATCCACTACTCCTTGCAAGCTTTGTTCAGCTGTACACGTGCAGCTGTATGTGATCATTATAGTTTTTTGCATCACGAGAAATTCGCTACATGTTTTCGCTTTTGTTTCGCACATACAGCCGATGTTTTCCGTTGTACGGAAGTCGGGCGATTTTCAATTTT